GATAATGATCATAATACAGTCAGATTTAACATCATTATGGAAAAAGACAGTAATTGATAGAACAAGAGTAAGTGTTCTCAATTTGGGAAGGCAAACCTGACAAAACTAAGATGATCTGGCTGTGCAGATTAGACATATTCTTTGTAGAAAGTCAGTGGTAAATCACTGGCAGGCTTTCAGATATAAGATTCTATGGGCACAGTGTAGACATGTCTCCACAAAGAAAATTGGTGGTATTGCCAAATCTGGAATCCCCTGATTATCCAAAACACACATTGAGATAAAAAAGTAGAATAGAACTTCAGACAATCTTGTAGACAGTAATACTTCAGGAAGCATAGATATGTCTTGGAAGTACAGGAGTTAATTGAGACAGAAAATTAGGCCAGCAAGAAGAAGATATGAAAAATATTGCCCAATTAATATTAAGGAAAGTCCGAAGATGTTTTATCAGTAAATTAAGAGCAAGAGCAAGAGCATGATTCAGGAAAGAGTACAGGGTAACTTGTGCATGGATACAGAAGATGTGGGCTAGATTCTTGAGTACTTTGTTCCTATCTTCACATTTTCTTCTTTAACTACAATGTCTACATCATCCATCTCCTTTGTGAAGTACTTGATAAAATAAGCGTAGCATGAAGGAAAGTATGGGAGTGATTGACCTTGAAAATGGGCAAATCATCAGGTCTAGACAAATTAATCCTGAGTTGTTAAAGGAAGCAAAGGAAGAAGTGATCTGAGGATCATTTCCAAATCTTCATTAGATAAAGGCACATTACCAGAGGATTAGAGGTCTTTTAATTTTAATTGCCCTTGTAGGATATGGGCATTGCTCGGTGGCTAACATTTATTCACAAGAATAGAAGTTGCTGGAAAAGTTCAGGTCTGGCGGCATCTGTGAAGAGAAATCAGTTAATGTTTCAGGTTGAGAGACCCTTAACATTAACTCTGATTTCTGTTCATGGATGCTGCCAGACCTGCTGAACCTTTCCATTTTTGTTTCTGATTTACAGATCCACAGTTCATTCAGTTTTTATTTGGACAACATTTATTACTAGTTGTCCCTAGTTGATCTTGAGAAGGTGACCTGCCTTCTTGAACTGCTGCAGTCCCTGAGCTGTGGATATACCCATCCACAATGCAATGACACTGAAGGAGTGACCATATATTTCCAAATTAGCAAAATGAGTGGCTTGGAGGTGTACTTGCAGCTGGTGATGCTCCAATATATCTGCTGCCCTTGTCCTACCAGATGTATGTGGCTGTGGCCATGGGCTTGAAAGCTCTAAGGAGCCCTGGTGAATTTCTGCAGTACACCTTGTAGATAGTAAACACAGTGATCGTGGAGGGGGTGAATGTTGTGTGAATCAAGCAGGCTGCTTTGTCCAGGATGGTGTCAAGCTGCTTCAGTGTTACTGGAGCTGCACTTCTCTAGGCAAGTGGCAATATTCCAGCACAGCCCTGACTTGTGCCTTGTAGATGGTAGACAGGCTTTGTGGAATCATGGGAGTAGTTACTTGCCGCCATATTCCTAGCCCCTGAACGGCTCTTGTAGCCACTTTATTTATATGGTGTGTACAGTTGAGTTTCTGGTCACTGATAACCGCTGGGATGTTAAAAGTGGGGAATTGGTGATGGCAACGCCATTAAGTGTCAAGAGTTGATGGTTGGATTGTTTCTTACTGGAGATGGCCATTGCCTAGCATTTTTGTGGCACAAATGTTACTTACCACTTTTCGGCTGAGGCTGGCATATTGTCCAGATTTTGCTGCATTTGGACGTGGACTGCTTCGGTATCTAAGGAGTTGTGAATGCTGCTTAATTGTTGGCAAATCACGATAGTTAAAAGAGGAATGTGAATTATTAGGTGTAATAAGCATAATTTTTGCTGTTTTGATGTTGCAACTTTTAACCATAGAGTCTGTAAATTCTAACTTTTGTCTGCAAATATTGTATCCTATTCAAAAGGGTATGGAGAAATGCAACGTTATGCTATTGGAGAGTGCAAACAAAGTAAGAGAATACACAGAAGGTATTGAGAAGGGTAGAGGAACAGAGAAACCTAGGAGTTTCCTGTGCCAGCAAGTGCACAGACCCCTGAAGGTGATAAAACAGTAATAAAGTAGTAAATAAGACAGATGCAATACTTTTAATTATTGAGTGAGGTGTTGAAAACATGAGCAGGGATGTAATGCTGAAACCATACAAGACACTGGTTAGATCATAAATGAAGATTTATGTGCAGTTCTGGTCACTGCATTACCTTGAGAGTATGGAGGAGATGTACAATATTGTTGCTGCAGCCTGAAAACTGTTACAATGAGGAAAGATTGGGTGGTGAGGTGGTGTTTTCCTTAGAAAAGATGATGCTGAGTGGTGCCAACTGAGATGTATAAAATAACGAAAGGACAGGATGGAATGGAGATAGAAGACTTGTTTCCCCAGTCAGTTTCTAAGGTGCACCAAATCTACCAAAATTTAAGGTGATCAGTGGAATGATTAGCGTGTACACGCGGAAAGCTTTTCTCACCCAATCGGTGGTGGGTATTTGGAATCCAGTGCCCAGTTTGATAGCTTTGATGGAAATCCTGAACTAATTTAAGAGGAATCTTGGATGTACACCTGAAGCTTTATAACCTGCAAGGCTGTGGACCAAGTGCTGGAAAGTGGGATTAGAATGGATGGCTAGTTTGTTCAGATGACACAAGCATGATTAGCTAAATGGGTTCATTCCTTGACGTAACTGTGATTAGAGTCGCAACTTTGTAAACAGCAAAACTATGTTCAATTTAAAATTTGTTATGAATTGATGGGTTGGGAGTATTTCCTTTCAGTAGTTTTTTCCACATTCACCTGATTGCTCTTCTCAGAAAGCGATGAAAAGAAGCACGTCAGGCTAACTTGTTGATTTTTCTCTGATTTTTGACTACTTTGAGTCTGCTAAAACAGCTCAAGATTTCTTCCCAGCTCTGAAGTAGTCTGAAGACTTCTACAAATTTCCCTGCTGCTGGATTGAGTATTTTCTTCTGAACTTAACTTATTTGTGGCCTCAGCCATCTTGTCCCTGGAAGTCATGGAAATTTTGATTTGTAATTGTCTTGTCACTTGGCCTTTCTAGGCGATCATGTGATTTAAGCTATCTTTAGCTCACTGTTCCAAATTACTTCCTGAGCTTGAAAAAGACAGATCATACCTTTACAGCACTGAAAACCGAAAAGACCTTTACCTCTGCTTTCAACACCAAGTTCCCAATGATGATAACACATTCTAGGCCTTCACCACAAGATAAACTGTTGTTTTGAGAATAAAATTTGAGAATTAACTTGATCAAAGCTTCTCGCTGCCTTGGAAAGGCATAATCAAAGACTCCTTCCACCCCAATTATAATACCTTCCAACCTCTTCTGTGAGGCAAAAGATACAGAAGCTTAAACACATCTATCAACAGATTCATGAGCAGCTTCTTCCCTGCTGTTATTAGACTTTGAATGGACCTCTCATATTTTAAATTTAATGTTGACTTCGCTCTTTGTGCACCTTGTCTCCAGCCGTAACGTTGTATTCCTCTGTTCTATTACCCTTATGCACTTTGTATGGTATGATCTGCCTGTACTGCACGTCAAAAAAAACGCACTTCACTGTACCTAAGTACTTGTAACAATAATAAATCAAATAAAATCAATTCACATTATTTCTGAAAACTCTAGGCGTTCAAGAAGTAGAGAAAGCAAATATGGGTGCAAAATCCTGTCGTGCATGAAATGAGACAAAAATAAGTTAGGACATTTGGCCCAGCTGGTCCATGCATCATCATAAAAAGAAGACCACACTGGAATTGCAAAATGATCCAAACTTGTAGCAAATGGAGTAGAGAAACTAACAGTTCCAAATGCATGCTGATGTCTAGTTGTTTAGGCTTTCCCTTCTGGATTTACTAACAACCTACAGATTTTGTGGGGAATGATGAGGATTAGAAAACAATAAAATCATAAAGTAATGATTGCCTCATTGCAGCAATTAGCAATTGGAGACATGCTGCAAGAATCTTGTTCATCCATTCTGGTGTTGAAAGGCAGCATAAATTTGCCAAATAGACCAGGGATAGCATGTCATACTTAAAACTGTGAAATTACTAATGTTGCTGCATTAGTTTGGTTTCTATCTGCCGAAGTGAGCATGAGCTTACTTTAAACTAGAAATGATATTGGGTTTGAAAAATATTGATTGGTGTATATGAAGTGTTGGTCCCCACCGTTTGAAGCCAGGGCAATAATGCCTATAATGTGGAAGAATTGGTTTCCCTATTTAAGATGAAGGCAGATGCTATTTGGAGAGGAAGGGAATTGTTTCTATGACAGGATTTTTGAAGAAAGAATGTAAGTAATTTGTCAGAGGGATTGACCTCGCTGCAATGTTGCTTCAGAGTGTCTAGGGACAATTTCGTTTAATCCTCAGGAATCTGTCTGTTTAGAGATTTCAACAGCTTGGTTCTCTGTAGCTTGCTGTTTGTTCTTGAACTAGTTGAATAACTTTCTGATTGCTGCAATGATGCTGCTTCTCAAGTGTCTGCATCAAAAGCCTTGAATATTGCATTCAGAAGTGTTTTAAATTGGTTTTAAATCTGTGTTTGATCCATGTATTTTAAAAGTGATACCAAGTCTGTTTCTGTGCTGTACATCTCTATGACTCTGTGTCATCCAGCTGACGTCTGCCTGAAGCCTGGATTGTCTCAAGTTGACAGCAGCATACTAGGCATCAACTACTTGGACGCGTAAAGCACCAGCATGGAATTTGGGCCAATGAATATTGAGCTTGCATAACTTAGCATACAAATTCCAATAGAAAATGATGCAAGTAAGAAAAATGGAAATGAGCCTGTTTAATATTTGTTTCTAGGCATTTTCAGTGTGTTGGTTTTAAATATTCGGATATAAAAATGATTAGCTTCTACTCCGAGACCATCAGCTAGACTCTGATGAAACTCTCCATCAGCCTTATTAGTATAGGAGATCACAGTTATGGCCTGAGAGGTAGCTCATTGGTCATGCTGGCTCCTCTAAGCCCCACATTTAAGGTGAGTTTATTAAATACCTGCCTTTTCTACTTGCAAACTACAGCATTATTAATAGTCGTTACTTAGACTGCTGATAATCCCAACACCATTTTCTTGTATGTTTTAAAACGTATTAGGCCACTTGTTGACGTATTAAGTGCCCCAAAATCTGTTTTGGACGGCTGTTAGGAATGTCTGTACGCCTCCCAAACTAACATGGCATTGGACATTCAAACATGGGTCGATGACCTTTAAATTAGACTTCTCTACACCCAGAAACTGAAGTTTCTAACTGGTTTTAACTTTTGATGGCACATTCTCTTCAAAAGTTCTTAATTGCTGCTGGGCAAAATCAATTGTGCAAGTCTCCGCCTCTTTCTGTCATCATCCTTCATCTTACATCTTTTCCTCTCCCTCGTTGCTCCCTGATGAGTTGCTGATGTGAAACTTGAAGTCAACTTTTCAGAAAAGCAAAATATCATGGATGCTTCAACTGCTCAGGCTGGTAGCACTTGTGTGGAAACAAACCAAGTTAACTTTTCAAATTGTTGATGACATTAATACTCTTTATCTCTATAAGTGCTGCCTGACCTGTCACATGTTGCCAGCCTGTTCTTTTTTTTTGGAAGCAATATGAGCCAAAAAGAGCTGGCTGTATGCAGTTCAACAAAAATCAATGTTAAATTTTCAATGCCATGCCAGTCAATGACGTGTTTAGCGTGAGAAAGTAAAATGCTGATATAATACCCTTGGAGCTTTTTTGCAAAGAAAAGTAAGCTTTAATTTGCATATGACCTGCCCAATGCTTAAAATGGGCGCTTAGAAAAAGTGGAATTAGATCTGCCAACTGGTTTTCCATAAGAAATTGATTAGATTATTTAGGTGGTTGAATAAAAATGGTTTGTAGAGATATTTGGTGAACAGTGAGTAAATGTGATTAGAGTTATTTAGTTTTATTTATTAGAGGGTGCACCCTCTTGTGGCACAGTCACACTGTCCCTGCCCCCTTAACGTGGAGACCTGTGTTCAAATCCTACCAGAAGTGGAATATTTCCAGAGTTGTGTAATAGCATCTCTGAACAGGGTGATTAGGGGAAAAAAAGGAAGATCCTGACAGATTCTGAAAAAAATAGAAATTGCTGCAAAAGCTCGGCAGGTCTGGCGGCATCTGTGGAGGAACATTGGAGTTAACATTTCAGGTCAAGTGACCCTTCCTCAGAACTTGGATGTCTTCAAGATGTCACCTGGGCTGGGGAGCTTCAATATAGGGGCAGTACGTGGCTCATTGGTTAACACTGCTGCCTCACAGCGCCAGGGACCTGGGTTTGATTCCACTCTCAGGCGACTGTGTGGAGTTTACACATTCTCCCTGTGTCTGTGTGAATTTCACTGGGTGCTCTGGTTTCCTCGCACAGTTCAAACATATGCAGGTTAGCTGAATTGGCTATGCTAAATTGCCCATAGTGTTCAGGGATGTGCAGGCTGGTAGGTGGTTAGTCATGGGAAATGCATGCTTAGAGGTAGGGAAATGAGTCTGGATGGGATGCTCCTAAGAGGGTTGGTGCGGACCTGTTGGGGCCCTGCAGGGATTCCATGATTCTAAGATTACTTGGTGAGTGAAGAGTAAGAACAAATGCATTGTGCCAAGTGACCTCTTCTGTGTTGTATCATCTGTGTACTGCGATATAATTTAACCCACTTAGTTTGGGGATCGGTATGATTTTTGATAAGCAATGCATTGAAAATTTGTTTGTATTTAGATTGTGCACAACAGTGAATTTAATTCGAGCTCGGATAATATAGTACTGTAAAAATGCTGAAGTCTAGATGGACAAACTTCCATCCAGTCAATTAACACTGAAAAATATTTTCCACTTTCCAACAGTATTTCATAATTCATTGTTAACTGCTTTCTTATTGTTGCAGCAACATTTAAAAGAAGCCAATGATGCTCTAGATTCTGCATCAAGACTAGCTGAGCAGTTGGACCTTAAAGAGGAGCAACTGGAAGATCTTAAAAAACAAGGTAATGCATTGCTTTGCACGTGTAAACCGTTTGATTAGAAAGGTGGTAACACGTTTTGGTATTCCATCTTCATTCCTTCAACCTCAAACTCCTTGGTGACTTTAAAGCATTTCAGTGCTGTGGCAACTTGATTAGGAGGATTCAAATATGGAATTCTAGTGAAGTATCAAGGAGACAGTAAGTACATTTAGGAATTTTGGAGCAGAAAGAGGAGGTTGGGGATGAGTCAGTAGTTTAGAAGTACAGCTGGATCAAGATTTGGATTTTTGAAGAACTGTGTGATGATTGCAGATTTGAAGGACAATATTGGAAGAGTGAAAGCAGTTATCTATCAGCTAATGGGAATCATTAATTTCATGCACAATGGAAATAACTAATCTTAGGGAAGATTTGAAAATCTATGGAGGAGGAGATTGAGGGGAATAACTTTAGTTATTGCAATACAGGACTGTTGACTTTATAAGATTAACAAATATTTGAGTGAAATGGACTGTATCCACCAGTATTTAAAGATACAGTTAACTTGTGCAAGTTTAATAGTTTAGGCTTGGTGGATTTGAAGAAACCTCTGCTCAGTGAGTTAAAAATGTCGTACCATTGCTTTTTTATTTCCTGAACACTCTGAAACGTTTTCATCCAAACCTCTCTACAAACTGTTCTAAAAAATTCAATTGCTGTTTAGGGATATGTTTCAGTATACATTGCATCTTGAGAACAAATTAGTCTGAATATGCCCAGGAAACAAAGTAAATATATTACTTGCATTCTTAATCAGTGCATAGATAAAACTTACTGTTTGTTAACATTGATGACTTTGCCCTGAAATATGAAAGAAGATAGTTTTACAGCTATTGTGCAAGTTTATTCCTGTTATCCTTGGGATGTCTTTTTTTTTCATATTGGTCAAAGTCCAGACCAATAAAGTAAAACTAAATCTGTAGTAATGGTAATGAATTAAAATTTGCGAGGGAGATGAGTCTCTTATCATTAAGTTGCATTTTGTTTGTGTGTAAGGTTTTTTAAAATGACAACAAATAATACTGTGGCTGATAGTAATCAGTTCTTCAGTAGCTCCATGAGCTGATTTAGTTTGCAGCTGAGCCATGCAGATTAGTAATTCAGTTTGAGTTCAGCCCAGGTTGCAATAGCAGTGCTGTGTATGCCACCTGCACTTAGCAATCAGCCAAGGCTTTTGTTCCTGATCACTATCAGCAACTTGTCTGGAATGTGTGTCAACACCTGACAGTCATAAAAGCATCACTGGCCTCAGCTGTGATAACGCTCCATGTTGGAGCTTTCCTGCCAGCACTTGCCATTAGGGTTCATGTACAAATAGTTACCATTTGGGCGAGATTCCTTTGGATTTCTCCTTCGTGTGGAGCCATATCTTTATATTCTTGACAGCACTTGACATTGTTCCAAACAGAAGTTCAGAAATGCATGCTCAAATGAGATGCTTCGTAATTGAGAAGTAACAAGTTAAATGCATGGGATGTTTGATAGGGAACGTCTATGTTCTCTCTTTGCAAATTACATCAAAATAATTTCAGAATAGAATACAGAAAGGAGACTAATCTTAACTTTTGGAAAAATGAGGGTGCACAGGCAGAGATTGTGGGAAATGTTTAATTGTTTTTGTATGAAGGATGATTTGCTAACATGGGCTGGAAAATGATAAAACCAGAGGGGAGAAAAGTTGAATAAAAGAGCAAATAAAGAACACAATGTTGGGTGCTCTGTAGACAGGAATTTTGTTCATCCAGTTCTGTAGAAAGCATATCTCTGAGCAGAGACATAATGTAGTGTTTGTATTTAAAGTTGTGAAGAGACTTTTTGCATCTAATTTATGTAATGATTCATTACTTTATTTTTTGAACATGAACAAAATGGTTTTGAAACAAATTTTTTAAACATGTAAACTGACATAGCGGCTAAAATGGAAGCAAATGGACGATGGATTAAAAACAATCAAGTGGAACAGACATGCAGTTAACTTGACTATCAGTAAACTTATGGTTACCAGCCGTATGTCTGAATTGCTAGCTGCAAAAGGTGATCTTGAAAAAAAATGCACCTCCTATTTCAGACCTCTGCTAAATAAAGACCTGATAACATTTAAAGGGAAAAAAAACCTTGGTCTTGTCTTGGTTATGAAAGTACAAGTATTCATATTGGGAGCAGAATTCGGCAATTCAACCCCTCAAACCTGCTCTGCCATTGACTAATGTTACGGTTGATCTGTTTGTTTCATTTTCCATCTTCACCTTTGCTTTGATTCCCTTCCCTAACGAGATTCTACCTACCTCAGCTGTTTTAAAAAAAAACAAAAAAAATTCATGAGCCCACCCCCAGTACCTTCTGAGGCGGAGAGTTTGAAAATTACACAAAGCTCTGAGAGAAAAGAATATCTTGTCTGTGTCATAAAAGAGTGAACTGTAATTTTAAATCTGTGCACTCTAGTTCTGGGCTCACCTACAACAACAATCTTTTCCATATCCACCTTGTCAAGACTGTTCAGAATCTTGTATTCTTTAATCACGTTGTCTCTCCATCTTCTAAACTCTAGTGGAAGCAAATCTAATCTTTCCTCATAAGACAACTTTTCTTTTATTCATTTGGACATGGGCGTCACTGGCTAGGCCAGCATCTATTGCCATTCCAAGTTGACTTTGAAAAGGTGGTGAGCTGCTGCCTTGAACTGCAGTCCATTGCTATAGCTAGGCCCATACTGCCCTTAGGGACCAAATTCCAGGATTTTGACTCAGTGGCAGTGGAGGAACGGCGATATATTTTGAAGTCAGTAGTGGTGTTTTCATCTATCTTCTAGCGTTGTCCTTTTAGAAGAAAGTGACTATGGCCATGAGCTTGGAAAGTATTATCTAAGGAACCTTGGTGAATTTCTGTTTTGCTGTTACTGAGTATTGGTGGTGGAGTGAGTGGTTGCTTGTGAATGTGGTGCCAGTCAAGTGAGCTGCTTTGTCCTCGATGGTTTCAAGCTGCTTAAAGGTTGGAGTTGCACTCTTCAGGCAAGTGAGGAGTAACTCACCACCTGACTCCACAAAGCCTGTCCACTTTCACACTCCTGATTAGATGATGGATATGCTTTGTGGAGTCAGGTGGTGAGTTGCTTGCTGCAACATTCCTAGCCTCTGACCTCCTTATAGCCACTGTATTTATATGGTGAATCCAGTTGATTTTCTGGTCGATAATAATCCCCAGGATGTTGATAGTGGCATTTCAGTGATGGTAACACTGTTGAATATCAAAGGATGGTGGTTAGATTGTCTCTTATTGGAGATGGTCATGCGCAATGTATCAATGTAGCAAATATCCTCTGAACTTCCTCCAATAACTATACAGCCATCCTTAAATAAGGAAACCAAAACTGCATGCCGTATCTGATTTTGTCCATAAGACCATAAGAAATAAGATCAGGCAGGGGCCATTTAGCCTCTCAAGTCTGGTCTACCATTCAGCAAGATCATGGCTGAGCTGACATTCCTCATGGCCACTTTCCTTCTCTTTTCCGTAACCCTTGATTTCCCCTGCTGATCAAGAATCTGTCTATCTATCTCAGCCTTAAATATGCATAAGGATTCTGTTCCCACAACTCGCTGCAGCAGAGTTTCAAAGACTTTCAATCCACAGAAGAAATTCCTCCTTATCTCAGTCTTAAATTGACATCCCGTTAGATCATAGAAGATCATAAAATCTACACAAGTGTGAAAACACAAGTCCACGCTGAACCTCAGAGTATCCCACTCAGACCCATCCCCATGTAACCCATCTAACCTACACATCCCTGGACACTATGGGCAATTTAGCATGGCCAATTCACCTAACCTGCACATCTTTGGACTGTGGGAGGAAACCGGAGCACCTGGAGGAAAACCACGCAAACAAGGGAGAATGTGCAAACTCCACACAAGACAGTTGACCGAGGATGGGATTGAACTTGGGTTACTGGCGCTGTGCGGCAGCAGTGCTCTGAGACTATGCCCTCTAGTCCTAGGCTGTCCTGTGAGGAGTAACTCCCCTCATCGTCTACCCTGTCAAGCCCCTAAGGAATCCTATGTTTCATTAAGGTTACCTGTCATTATCTCTCCACCCCAGGGATCATCCTAATGAACCTCCTCTGAACGGATGAAATGATATCTTTCCTTCAGTAAGGGGACCAAAACTGCTGTCAGCTCTCTGGATGTGGTCTTGCCAGCATCTTGCACAGTTGCAGTAAAAAGTTCCTACTCTTATACTCCAATCCCCTTGAAATGAGGACTAACATTCCATTAGCCTTCCTGATCATCTGCTGCATCTGTATGTTCCCTTTGATCCAGTACTGGGGGACACTGTTTTAAATTTAAGGGTCACCCTTTCAGGACAGAAGTGAGAATTTTTTTTTTGAGGGTTGTGAGACTTTAGAATTCTGCCTGAGAAGGTGTTGGAGACAAAGTCATTGAGTGTTTTAATTTAGAAATGAATAGGTTCTTGTTTGGGAGTGAATCCAGGGTTATGGGGTGTGTGGATTTGAATGTGGGATTTGAATCACAAACTGACCAGCCATGGTCTTTTAAATGTCAGTGCAGACTTGAGAGACTGAATGGTCAACTGTTTTTTTTCCTCTGTGTTTGTAAACTGGCACCATTAATGTATGACATGAAAGTGGAGCAGAACATGTTAAAATATGTTTAATGTTTGAGAAACGTTTTCTTTTTGTTCCTGAAATGTGCAAAGTTTAATTTTGTCTGGAATTAATTGTTTTGTTCTTAAATAAAACTTTTTGTAGAGAAGTAGGTGAACCAGCAAAGTTGACTGTAAATTGTCAGCAACTCCCCAGCTGAAGTGATTTAAAACTAGGTTACATTGTATGGATATTTCAAGGGAATTACACAATCCAACTCATTTAGTAATTTTTTTTATGTAACTGGCAATGTTTTGATTACATTCATATCGAATGGGTCAGTGGCATTTGGTCACTTCTTTGTTTGACTGAACGTGATTGAATACATATAGTTCCGTTTAATCCACGATATTGGATTTTTCATGTGTTTAGGCACTCTTAGCTGGTGATGTTTCCTGCATAACTTCATTCTTTCTTTCTATTTAATTTATACATGGCCTTGGCTTATGATCTGACTTTGATTACTCAGTGCTAAAATATTCATTGAAACGCAAACAGTTGACTAGCCAAAGAAAAGCTGAGGTGGGGAGGTGCAGGGGTAGAAAGGAGAGGAAAGTTGAATGAGCCAAACTAAATATGGAACTCAGGATGATGCTGAATGTCTGAATTAATTCATGTTGAACTAAGCCAGCTTAGAAAACTTGAACAGATCAAATATGCATTTTTCTCAGTATCTTATCTACCATTAATGCTGCTGAAACTTCGCACCCATTCTTTTTGGTTGTCCTGACCATCAAGTTTGTGGGTTTATTTCTCTATTCAGGGTCTTCAGATTTTGTTTGTTTGATTTAAGGATGGATATCATCACTGGTGAGACCAGCATTTATCACCCTTTTTAATTGCCCTGGGAATGATGTTGAGCTTTCTTCTTGAACACTGTAGTCTGCCCAGTGTAGGTGTACCTACAGTGCTTTTTGGGAGAGTGTTTTTGGATTTTCACCTAGGGATAGTAAAGAAGTGATATGATTCCAAGTCAGGATGTTGTGTGGCTTGGAGGTAAACTTACAGATGGTATTCCTCCTGTGAATCTGCTGCCTTTGTCCTCCTAGGTGTTAGAAGTTGTGGGTTTGGAAAATCCTGTCAAAGGAACCTTGGCAAGTTTCTGCAGTGTATTTTGTAGATGGTATACATTGCTGCTGGCTTCATTGGTGGAGGGTTTTTTTTCAGTGAAGGATGGGGTGCATATCAAGCAAGGATCTTTGTTCCGGATACCATTGAAATTCTGGAGTGTTTATAGAACTGTATTCATATAGGCAAGTGGAGAGCATTTAATCACATTCCTGACTTATGCTTTATTGATGGGGGACAAGGTCTGGGGAGTCGGGAGGTGAGTTACCCAAGTGGAATATGCAGCTTCTGACCTGCTGTTATAGCCATGGTATTTTTGCGATCCAGTTCAGTTTCTTTAGATAATTAATATCACAGAGTAAAAGCATTGATGAAACCTAAGGGACTAACAGTGACAACATGTCAGGACTTAATCCTCGGATTCTAAAAAGCGTAGCGTCACAGTAGATTAAAACATCAAGGCGAAACGTCAGCCTCTCTGCTCCTATGATGCTGCTTGGCCTGCTGTGTTCATCCAGCCCTGCACCTTGTTGTCTCGGATTCTCCAACATCTGCAGTTCCTACTATCTAAGGCTGATTGAATGTCTGGACTGCTGTTATTTACCCAAAGTGATTCGGGACGTGCGAAATGAATTAAGTAAACCACTCCTAGATCTTTTAAGAGCTGAACTAATTCCAGTGTACCATGGTTCTAATCATTAGGAAGTAGAAGAAATCTAAACATCAGCGTTATTGGTTTTGTTAGTCTCATGTCACTTGCAAAGAAATTTCTAGAATGCATTATTGAGATTTATGAGATTGTTAGAACTGACAGTTCTTGAAGAATACCAGCATAATTATAATAAACGGCACTTTCCCACACTAATCTGATGAATTGTGCGACAAAGAGGCTAAATTCACAATGCTTATATTTTAAAATCCTCATTCCCATTTTCAAATCCATGGATGAAAAATTTCACTGGCGTGTGCCTGATAAACTCAGTAAAGTGGAGACAATTGAAGTGCGAGTAACTTGCAAATACTCCTCACCACTTTCAGTGTCTGGATTGCTTTTGGTTATTTCTGCTTTCTGCTTTTGTTCTTTCTGCTAAATGACCGTTTTTAACTCAAAAAGAAACCTCACCCCATTAATTTTTATTTCTTAAATAGTTGTGACTCAACAGGACATGTTGGAAGATGCGCAGAGAAAACTGCTGAACCTAGTCAACAACAGTGAAGGTAGAATTGACAAGTGAGTATCTGATATTCACATTTATTTTGGAAACCTATGAATATTTTCTCACTTGATAAAATGGTTTGTTTGCAACCCTAATGTACTGAAGCCAGAAGGTATCTCAGTGGATGATTTTGGGTTATGTAATGCATTGATTGCTCAGGGCTAAAGTAACTCAACTTGAGGTATAGCAGCAGTTTTGGTCTAGCAAATTATCAAAAGCAAAATGTTAGGAAGTGTTTGACTTTCAGCAACACTTAGTTGGACAACTGTTACACTCCATACCTACCTTTTAGTTTCTTGACCATTAGCATCACCATTTGGCTTTCCCCTATGTTGCCTAATTTCTCTTGATTTCCATCATATAACAGACTTCTCCTTGTGAGCTTTACTCTCCTTCCCTGGTTGAACCTGCTGCATCTTGGACTTCTTCCAGTTCTGTCAAAAGGCCATCAATCTGAAATGATCCCTTTTGTTTGTTCTCCCGCCGTATATTTAGTAAAATGTAGCAACCCAATATTGGCTAATGCATTTTGCTCTCTAAGTCTAATCTTTACATTTTATAACTTTGTGAATTTTTTTGGCAATTTATGATTTGTTGGCTAATCATATATTCAGTTTTGGTTTGAAACTGTCATTTTGATTCATGTCCTTCACTGATATTTAAGCTTTCTTTAGTCACTGAAAACCAATATCTGAATGCTGTGATGCTCTGCACATATTAATCCCAACGCACCATGATTTCATTGTATTTCTGACATAAGGATGAGACAAGAGAGAAGCTCTCGTAGGTTTCTCATAGGTTTCCAAAAGCTCTTGTAGATGTAGAGAGTAACATTCACATGGACTGAGGATTGATTAAGTAACTGGAAACAATATTACAGAATTATTATGATGCAGGAGAAGATCGTTCGGCCCATCCTGCTTGCACTTGCTCTTCAAATGAGTACCGTGATCTTACGCCGGTCTCTTGCTTTTTCACTATACCCTTGTACATTTCTATCCACATAATCATCCAATGCTCCCTTGAATGCCTCAACGGAACATGCTTCTACCATACTTCCAGGCATGGAATTTTATGCATCATCCTTGCTCACTGTGCACATCTCTAAGTCTTTGTCTTCTCATTCGTCGCATTCCTTTTATGACGGCGAACAGCTTTTCCCTATCTACTGTATTCAGCCCATAGTAAGCATAAGTGAGTCATTTCTGGGTTGGCAAGATGTGACAAGGAGGACCACAGGGCTCAGTGCTGAGGCCTGAACGATTTACAATTCATAAATAATAACATAATGAAGATGTTGAATATAAAGTTGTTCAAGGATAGTAGAAAAGTAAATCATGAAGATGACATAAGAGTCTGAAAGTGGCTGAAGATAGGTTAAGTGAGGACACACATTTGGCAAATGGAGTATAATGTGGAAGGAAGAACAGTGAGTAAACATATTATTTAACTGGAGAGAGATGCAGAACTCTTGAGATACAGAGGGATCTGAATCATGTATCATGTTTAGTATAAATGTACAGCAAGTAATTAGGCAAATTGAATGTTCTTGTATTTTGTAAGAGGGATGGAATGCCTGTGTTGTACAGGGCATTGATAAGGTCCTGTCTATACTTTCTACCATTTTGGTCTCCTTATTTAAGAGACGACATAATTTCATTAGAAGCTGTTCAGATATCAAGGGTGGGGGAGCATTTTCTTATCAGGAAAGTATAGATACACTGGACATACCCATTTGCAGTTTAAAATAATCATATTGAAACCTGTAAGATCCTGAGGAAGCTTGTCAGGTGGATGCTGAAAGGATTTTTCCTCACATGGAAAGATTGAGGCAGACTTGATAAGGGAGCTTAAGGTGAAGGAACCCTTAGGAGGCAGTGGTCATAAGATGATAGAATTTACTCTGCAGTTTGAGAGGGAGAAGATAGAATCAGAGGTAAGGGTATTATAATTGAATAAAGGTGACTACAGAGGTATGAGGGAGGAGCTGGGCAGAATTGACTGGAAGAGGAGCCTAGCAGGAAAGACAGCAGAACAGCAATGGCAGGAGTTGCTTGGAGTAATTCAGGAAACGCAACAAAAATTCATCCCAAGGAAAAAGAAGCGTGGTACAGGGAGGATGAGGCAACCATGGCTGACTAAGGAAGTTAGGGATAGCATAAAAGCAAAAGAGAAAGCATATAATGTGGCGAAGGGCAGTGGGAAACCAGAGGACTGGGAAGCTTACAAAGACCAACAGAGGGCAACAAAAAAAGAGAAATAAGGAGGGAGAAGATTAAATATGAGGATAAGCTAGCCAGTAATATAAATGAAGACTGCAAGAGTTTCTTGAGATATATAAAGGGCAAAAGAACACACACATTGGACCACTGGAAAATGACGGTCCATTGTAAATGATAGTAGTGGGGAACAGGAAAATGGCTGAAGCACTGAATAATTACTTTGCGTCAGTTTCACGGTGGAAGACAGGAGTAATTTCCCAAAAATTCAAGAGAGTCAGGGGGCAGAGCTGAGTATGGTGGCCATCACCAAGGAAAAGGTGCTAGTAAAACTGATTGGCTTGAAGGTGGATAAATTACCTGGACCAGATGGACTACACCCAAAATTCTAAAGGAAATAGCTGAAGAGATAATGGAAGCATTAGTGGTGATTTTTCAGGAATCGCTAGAGTCAGGGAGGGTCCCAGAGGACTGGAAAATCGCTAACTTGACACCCCTGTTTAAAAAGGGAGTAAGGCAAAAGACAGAAAATTACAGGCCGATTAGCCTAACCACGGTTGTGGGTAAGATGTTGGAGTCCATTGTAAAGGATGAGATTTCTGAATATTTGGAAGTGTATGGTAAAGTAGGGCAAAGTCAGCATGGTTTCATCAAGGGGAGGTCTTGCCTGACAAATCTGCTAGAATTCTTTGAGGAAGTAACGAGCAGGGTAGACCAAGGAGAACCAATGGATGTTACCTACCTGGACTTCAAGAAGGTTTTTGACAAGGTGCCGCACAAGAGGCTGCTGAGTAACATAAGGGCCCATGGTGTTAGAGGCAAGATGCTAGTATGGATAGAAAATTGGCTGTCTGGCAGAAAGCAGAGAGTGGGGATAAAGGGATCTTTCTCAGGATGGCAGCCGGTGACAAGTGGTGTTCCGCAAGGGTCAGTGTTGGGACTACAACTTTTCACTTTATACGTTACTGATCTCGGTGAAGGAACTGTGGGCATTCTGGCTAAGTTTGCAGATGATACAAAGATAGGTGGAGGAACAGGTAGTATTGAGGAGATGGGGAGGCTGCAGAAGGATTTGGACAGGTTAGGAGAGTAGGCAAAGAAGTGGCAGATGGAGTACAACGTGGGAAAGTGTGAGGTCATGCACTTTGCTAAGAAGAATAAAAGCATGGACTATTTTCTAAATGGGGAGAAAATTCTGAAGTCTGAAGCTCAAAGAGACTTGGGAGTTCTAGTCCAAGATTCTGTCAAGGAAAACTTGCAGGTTGAGTCAGTAGTCAGGAAGGCAAATGCAATGTTGGCATTTATTTTAAGAGGACTTGAATATAAAAGCAGGGATGTATGACTGAGGCTTTATAAGGCTCTGGTCAGGCCACATTTGGAGAATTGTGTGCAATTTTGGCCCCTTGTCTCAGGAAGGATGTACTGGCCCTGGAGCGGGTTCAGAGGAGGTTCACGAGAATGGTCCCAGGAATAGAAAGCTTAACATATGAGGAACGTTTGAGGACTCTGGGACTATACTCATTGGAGTTTAGAAGGATGAGGGGGGATCTAATTGAAACTTACAGAATACTGAATGGCCTGGACAGAGTGGATGTTGGGAAGATGCTTCCATTGGTAGGAGAGACTAGGATCTGAGGTCACAGCCTTCGAGTAAAGGGAAGACCTTTTAGAACCGAGATAAGGAGAAACTTCTTCAGCCAGAGAGTGGTGAATCTATGGAATTCACTGCCACAGGAGGCTGTGGAGGCCAGCTCATTGAGTACATTTAAGACTGAGATACATAGGTCCTTGATTGTCAAGGGTTACGGGGAGACAGCGGGAGAATGGGGTCGAAGAACTTATCAGCCATGATTGAATGGTGGAGCAGGCACGATGGACCGAATGGCCTAATTTCTGCTCCTATGTCTTTTGGTCTTATTAGACCAAGGGGAAACAGTCTAAGAATATAGTCTCTATTTGTGAGCCCAGCCAGACAAATCAATGGCTATTCCTCTTTAAGGATCAATGCATTCAAATTGAATCCTGATGATAACCAATAATCATGCATGAAGACCTGTTCATGGATGAACAGTTAGTGAAAATTCCAGCTCATTTCTTGTTTAACTCCTAACCTCCACTGCACCCCAACCTTTTACGTCACAGATTACTAGATCAGTTGTTGCATTGTACTGTTGCCTCAATTGCGATCAGCTAATTCTTAGCAGCTTGGAGATTGACGCCAGGAACCTTTACCCATCTCTCGGTATCATCCCACTAACTTTATCCAACCATGCACAACCGCCAAATTTATCGAGGTATTAAAATGTCAGCAATAACCTCACGTCTGCACACAGCAGGAGGATATCTGTTAAAAATTTGTTCTGTATTTGTTGAAATATGATGGAGCAAATTCAACAGCCCAGTTTACAACTGTAAAGTGTATTTTTAAATAATAATATTGGAGGTTCTGCTGTCTTGCATGCCAACCAATCCAAGTATGGATTTGTCATTTATTGTGTTCTTGTTGCTAACTAGATCCCATTTATTTTAAAGGGTCTTGATGAGAAGTTTGTTTGTGAGTTATTTCCATACTCCAAAGAACAAGCGTGATGAAGCAGTAAGGCTATTGGGAAATGTTTTGGGGTTAAAGAAAGAAGAGATTAAAGAGGTAGGCTGACATGATTGCTGTCTTTTCAAGTGCAGTTAATCAGATTGCAAGAACATTCCAAAGAGACTTGTTTTCTTTAAAGAAGAAATCTCATATTAGATTCTGTATTTTGTTAAATAGTTTATAAACTACCCCCTCCTCCATTTTGGGCATAAGCCAACTTTTTCCTAACTACCATCGGTTCTGAGGAAGGGTCACTGGACCTGAAACATTAACTCTGATTTCTCTCTACAGTTTCTGCCAGACCTGCTGAGTTTTTCCAGCAATTTCTGTTTTTGTTCCAACTTTTGTACCCCACAGTGTGGTCATTGGACTCAGCTCAATAATTTTGATTCTGGTTCTCCTGCCTACTGGGTAAATTTAGGTATATTGAGCACGATTATACATTGATACTTTGTACTCCTGTCTTGGAACTTTGAAGAGGTGTTGTGGTTTCCTGGCCCCCTCTGGCTGGTTATTGGTTCTGACCATTGCCTATAAAAAAATTGGTCTATTTATTATTAATCATTAAGTGTTGATGTCACTCACAACTTGCAGTTATTGTTACCAGTTCTACTCTGAGGCACCATCCTATTCTGACAGGAGCTCTGGTCACGCATGCAGCCTATATTTCAAATTTACTACTGAATTTCTCAAACTATCCAAGTTCCTGCACCTTTTAAAATTATTCCAATTATTGCATTTTCCAGTACACAGTTCAATTCTCTTTCCAGTGTATCAGCAAATGAATCATTCAAATCATTGTTAAATTAAGCCATGATGATCTTATCCAATATCTTGAGGCAACATAACTATTCCCATATTCTGCTTCAGAGCAGGATGTATCTGTCTGCTGCGCTCCATTTTGGAGGCATCCACATTTAACATATCCTCACTTGTTTTGCATAACAATGCATAAGCTACAACTTATTCTTACATTGTTTAATACTTGCTTTTTAAAATAAGAGAGCTTATTCCTTTCCCTTAATTTTGTCAAATGCCAATATGGTACTTTTGTATTTCCATTTTCTGTTCATTTGAATTGGTTTCATATTTAAAAGTGTAACTTGCGTGCTATGTTTTCACTAGCTGTTGGATAGTGAGCATCGTAGTGTTACTGGATGGGTCACTAGTTGGCTTGGTGGTAACCGAGGTAGTGGAACACAAAGTTTCCCAAGTACGCCACAGAGACCAAACCAGCACTCGGGTTTCAACAGTGTAAGTTCTCTTTTTGTTTGTTCTCCTACATCTTTAGTTTTTAAATTCTTAGTATGAAAACCAGAGTATCCTCAAGATTAACTAAGCCTCATCTGAAATATCCAGTTCTGGCATCACACTTTAGGAAATGTCAGCAATGGTTCACAAGAATGGTTTTTGTGATCGTAATCTTTAGTTACGCAGCATGTTTGAAGAAATTGACACGGTTAAGACTTTTCAATGGTCACCTGAACTCTTGGAATAAAGTCCTCCCTGTACTCATTCTCATATGAAAATTGTTCTTTGTATTGAATGCTCTGGAAACCCTAGGGTTATTTTGTCTGAAAGTTTGTAGATGTAAGATTTCAAGGTATATTATTTATCAAAACGCATCAATCAGTTGATGCATGGAAACAATTTAAGAAGTTATTCCATGTTTGTGCAATGCATTATTTTCTGATTGCACTAAAAATGATCAGGTGTCAAACCACTCTTGCCTATAAATTGGAAACCTGTAGGTTTAAGTCCAACTCCAGACACTTCAGCACAAAACCCAGTTAAAACTTCATTGAGAAATAAAGAAACTTTACTGCAATATTGAAGGTCCCTGATTCAGCTAAATTAGTCATGACCCTATCAGCCCCCTCAGATGAATGATGAAAGATCTTGGGGCACTTTGACAATTGCATCAGGGAATTTGTCCCCATTGTCCTGACCAATATTTTATCTCAGTAAATATTGCTGTAAAAATTCTTTTATTACCTTCCTGAGTGCAAATTAGGAGCCTGTTTTCCTACACTGACTGGGCTTCAAAAGTATTTCATTGGCTGTGAAAGTGCTCATAAATGCAAGTTGTTTCACTTTTCATAATACTAGTTTTATATATCCAAGTTCTGTAAATTTTTCCTTCTGTACAGTTTAACCTTGCTTATGTGTGACACTCAAATTCACCGATTTATTTTGGTGAACTTTGAATTCTCCAAGATCGGCACTTATGGCTGGTGACACAGGTAGTAATTTAGCTGTAAAGTCTCCCAGTTGCATCTTCAAGATAAGTGGATGGGTTTTTCATTAAAAAGCCCATCTTAGATCCGCTGGAAATGAATCAACACTGATGCTGTCTCTTTCTTCTTTGCTATTGCTATTTCTTTATTTTTATGCCGTGTTTCATCCCTTTGTTTATCCCTGCACATACTCTTACTCCTACTCCTCCATACCACCATCACCACTACCACAATCCATTGCTCTGGAAAATTCAGAAAATAATCCTGTAAACTTGCCTTATCTCTTTGAAATTTTTAAAACTAAGATTTGTCACACTTTGGAATGAACTACTACAGTGATTTGCAATAAAGTTTCTAACATGCAATAAGAAAGGTCTTTATTGTCAATGGGGAAAGGGCTAAAAGAATTGTGCTGAACCATAATTGAGACAAATAGGAGAGGCAATGAACAGTCTGGTCAAAACGATTAATTTTGGAAGTTTTTAAAGAGGAGAGAGATATGGATATCGGACAGAAATTTGAGTCAGTAAGGCAAAAGTAAAATGCTTGCCAAAAGTAAGATGGATAGAATTTTACTTAATGATGCTAAGAAAGGTACAATATAATGTCCTGAAATTCTTTACCGTCAGTATAATACAATTATAATTCATCCTCTTTGTTGCTGTTCAGGTATCCAAGTCTGTCTTGAAGTTTAGGAAGTGATTAAGTTAATGTATGAAGAAAAATATTGAGCAATACAGGGACAGAGGAAAATGGGAATACAGTTGGTAGATGTGATATGAACCTAATGCATAAGCATGGTGCGTCAAATAGCCACCTGCTGTATAAAAATTTATGATCTTTATGATTCTGATGCACAGTCCTCTGTTCTGGATCAAAGTAAATTTTCAGATGTGCAAATAGGTTAAAAATAAGAGGTCAATTAGATCAGCATGGTGTGCTTTTTTTGGATATTCATATTGTTGAAGCATTATCATATAACCCACCACTGCATTTTCCTCTGTAGTCTTTCTCGGAAATGTTTGTTAAATTCCTGGAGGTAGAATCTCGACCTTCCCTTCCACCTCCAAAACTGCCAGTTTACGACATGCACCCAGTTGGAGCCACATCTGGAAGCAGCCAGCCATCCAGCAGTTATTCCAGCCGTACTGCAGGTACAGGCTTTATAGTGTTAAGTTGTGTATTTCTTCTGCATTACTAATAAAAGAGCAATATAGATCGATTAAATAACTTAAAACTAGTCATATAGGTTAGTAAGGCTAATGAAAAAGCAAAATATAAAGCACCAGTATTCACTAAAAAGAGAATTTTTCTGTTTCTCCATTAACCTTGTAAGGAACTGTAGCTCGACTACGCCAGGAAGTACTGTGATAATTTAATATTCTTCCACCACCCCCCCCACCCCAATCCCAGCTACTCATTTATTGATGTGGTTTGACCCGAGAGTCACCATAGCTCAGGCGATGAGAGAGCTTGAGAAAGAGAGTCATTCATGGTAACCACAGTCAGTGCGGGTATTGAACCCGCGCTGTTGACATCACTGCATAGGCTGCCCAGCTAAGTAAGCAGCCAACCTCCTATCTGATATAAGAAAGTTATTTGTTGTGTAATCCTAAGCAAAATGCATTGATATCGTATCCTCCACGATGTGGAAAGTGAATTAAGTTTGTTTTTATCTTGTGTGTTTGTATGATGCCAACTGATGAACAGCTGATATTTACCTGGAGCTTAGTTCCCAAACACGGAATTTCAAAACAATCCCCAGGGGATTCTACTAATGAACTTTTCTACTACTGAATGCCATCTGCTTTATTTTACTGTCTGACTTGCAAGTAACAATAGCTTGATTTTTAATACTTCCGAACCCAGATAATATTGCAGTTACTTTAGTATTTACAAAAGTCACTTTAAAGAATAATATTCTTATTACTGAACTCCCAAATATTGAACACCAGCTAGATATGCAGTACAAATCATTTCTGCATTCATTATCTGATTTCATTGATGATGTAATCATTACCCTGAATAATGCTGTATTTTATTTGCAGGTACGTCGGGAGACGGTCCAGCGAAAAAATCTGACTCTAATCCTTTCTTGGCTCCACGATCTGCTGCTATCCCCCTCATCACATCAACAGCCTCCAGTGGTGTTGCGGCACCTCATCTCCTCATGAAACCAATCTCCAATGCTCTTCCTACCTTTACACCTTTACCAGTGTCTCCAGATTCTAGTGCCGGGGCTGTACTTAAAGATCTCCTCAAACAGTGAAAGAACTGGAGCAAACTACTACAGCACTTTAAAGTGAACTGACACTGTAGACTATTGTTGCACAGAGAGGCTTTCTTCAGAGTGCACAAAGTCTCCCAAGTGTTATTTACATCTTTCAAATGCTCTTCTTTAGTTAGAAAAGCTAAGTCTACTAAGATTGCAAGGATGCCAGCCCACAATCCAACTGGAGAAGGTTCGGCCAAGATGTAGAACACTTTCTGCCTCTCTAAAAGCCTAGCTATGAATACTTGTACTAAGCACACGAGGTGAGCATTATTACTGACTGCAAATACTGAATATCTGGCACTTAACCAAGATCTGTGGTGTTGGGTAATTACAATTCAAAAGAACTTTACAGATGCTGCTGAGATTCAGTATCCTTCCAAAATCCTAATGGGATTTATCTGGTTGCAATCTGTATGCGGTAATGGATTTCCGTTTCCATCCTCTCTTGAGAAAAAAATAAAACCTCTTCAGTAGAGTCCCAAAGAAGTACAAATGCAGTGTTGCATACTTGAAGCCTACTATAACTGGACTGCCTCTTGTAACTTATTGTACTGTTGTATGTGTTACCTGCCATGGTAGTAAATGGTTTTTTTCCTCGATGTTGCTGCATTTAACGAAGGTGGTACCGGCGGTGGACAAGCTTTGCTTTGGTTCGTTTTTCATTTCTTTTTAGGAAAAGAATGAAATGGTAACCTCCACTTCCCCATCCCCTCATATCCAGGAGGTTCAAGAGATTGGTGGTGAAGGCTCTTAATTTAAAAGAAAATTGTCTACCAGTCTGCTCAGCAATTGTGAATCTTAAATATAAATTAAAGCATTGGTTTAATAGAGGATGTTTTGCTCTTCCTATTGTGAATGGATAATTCCATAGAAAATCTTTAGAAATTTCCAGTTCTGAAGACAGAAGCCTTGTAAGTCTTTAGAATTTTTTGTTTTAATTTAAACTGTCAGCAATCTGGCTGCAGGAAACTTGAAATGTATCTGCTCACTTTTCCAATGGAGCCGTCTCAGCCCAGCATGTGCTCCTGATAGTTTTTTTTTTGGTTTGCTGGATGGGTTTGTTTTGAGTATTTCAAAGAGGCCTGATGTTCATAAGCACAACAGACTTTCAGTTGGATCCCAGATGTACTAAGGATTTCTTTGAGCACCAAAATTGGAAAAAATAACTTCGGTACTTACTTCAACTGTACGGTAAAGGGTAGAAATCCTTTTCAATCGTGCCTATAGAAAATAATCTAGATGCGTTCGATGCTGGTTAGTGCAAAGAGATCTGTAATTTTGTGCAGATGTTGGTCTGGTGATCTGTTACACCTTGTGTTATGATTCTGTTGGAATAATTTGTATGATTCTGGACCTGCGACTGTGGAGTCACGTCAGGCCTTTCTGTTGTACATTATTCTAGTTGCACTTCACTGTATCAGTGAGAGTGACAGCAATCACCAGCTTACAACAGAATTCTTGGTATAAATTGTTTGCTGTTTCCACAGCTTGTGTTCCATCTTATATAGTCTACAAATTTATAATAACCATTTGAGCTCTAAATTATCCAGAATTGATTTAACGTATTACTATTTGGTGTGTAATATTGTAGTTAACCTGAAGAGTGACATCTCTTGGATATATTATAGTAAACTCTAATTTTGTCAAAAATATTCAGGTTCATTATTAAAATGATTTAGGAATTACTGTGTATGTGTTAAAATCGAAAATATTATCATAACCTAAGAAATTAATCCTCAGGATTGGGATTGGGTATTTTTTGTGTTTTGTAGTTGAGTTATTTAGCTTTAAAAGAGACTCCAATTTGAGACTGGACATGAAGTCTCCGTTTTAGTCTATGATGTAGTCCAGTTCGCCAAACACCTCGGGCTTTGTTCAAGACTGAAAATCAATGTATTTATAGTTGAAGTAGTCATTTACAAACTCTTTCTCCAAAACTCATTTTTAACTCGAATAATGCAAATTAATTGTATTTTTCTTCTTGAGATTTTAAATTTATCTTCCTTCATTTTTCCTGAAAGTGTGGACTTATTTTCTGGATATCATTCCATTGCTGTGGAAGGTTTTCTGTTATTCTGATATTTTCTTATTCATTCAAGGGATGTGCATGTTGCAGCTTTTTTAAAACTGCAGCAGTTCATGGTGGTTAGGTACATACTGTAAGGAAGTGAATCCTGAACATCGACCCAGTGGTAATGAAAGAACAGTGATTTATTTCGAAGTCAGCATGGTGTGTGTCTTGGAGGGAAACTTGCAGGTTCTGCAGCCTTTGCGCTAAGCGGTAAAGGTCATAGATTTGGTTATTGTTTATTATATGTGAATATGGTGACTGTTGCAGTTTGGTTACAGGCCATCTGCACTTCAGCGCTCTCAGTACTGCTCACAGATTTCACCGAGGGTTGGAATCTATTTGGATTTGCAATATGGAATTTTAATCAAATCTGTCCCAGGAACTAGCGTCACAGTCCCATTGAATTTACACTTTCTTTGTTATATTATTAGATCTCAAAATATAAGAAAACAAAGTCAATGATAAACTATTGTTAGGGCTCTTGTGCTGCATTGGTATTGTCCTTCCTTCTGGACAAGGAGGCCCAGATTCAAATCCCACCTGCTCCAGAGGTATGTAATAAAATGTATGAACATGTTGATTAAAATTATCTAAGGCTGTTGTTTCAGAAACGTAATGCAATAGTCCGGCTGAGCTACCCAGAAGAGTAGTGTGAGGCTAATCTTTATGTAGTATTTGTTTCTTAATGCATCATCAGCTTTGGATTACATCTTGAGCCAGAAGAATAATGTTTTTGGATGTGCGCATACGGTGCGTAATAACTTCGGAAGCTCCATCGCATGTTGCAGTCAGTGAAGTATTTTTGAACTGCAGAATTGTTGAATTGCAAAAAACACAATGGTTTGGGCACAGTAAGTTTCCACAAAAAGACGTGATAAAGGCAAGATAAACTGTTCTGTGTGGTAGTGATTGAAAGATATGTCAGGATAGAGAGGTACCTTCCTTTTGTTTGAAATAATGCCATGGGATCTTTTATCTTTAAACAGACTGATATTTCAGGTTTGATATTTCACTTGGAAGAAGACACTTCTGACAGTGCAGTACTCCTCATTATTGCAGTGGAATGTCTGCCCAGTATCTAGAACAAGATTTATAACTCAGATGGAAGCAACTGACCCTTGGTTAACAGTTTTAAGGTTTAAACTACTCCACTTCAAGAGCACATATTCTAGAAAACATCTATTCATTGTATTCCTGAAGGAATGCAGTACTGTTGGCGATGTAATCTTTCAGGTGAGGTGTTAAGTTTGTTCTCTCAGTAGGCATAACAGATCTCACAAGTTTGTTCTGGCCAGTGTTTATCACCTGTTCAATGTAATTTAACACGACTGTTCACCAAATCCTTTATCTTGTTACTGTTTTTGGTACCCTGCTGTGCACAATTTGCGACTGAATTTTCTACAACAGTAAGTACAATTCAAAAAGAGCATCTCATGTGCTTTAAAGCATATGGGATATCTGAAAATCATGAAAGGTGCTGCATCATTTCAGTAATGAGAACATTGGATGTACTATACCCATTGTTTCACCTTTAGGTTACAGAATGCAGGTAAATGGCCTAAGCACTAAGTTAGTTGACCCATCCAGGAACCCCAAATGTTATGGAGAAGTTGTGTTGTGCTCTTGTTAAAGGTACAGTGATAGTCATGCAGGGTATTAAAACATTGTTCTCTGTTTTCAATTGTAGAAAATTCAGAATAAAGCTGTGTCAAAAGTGAAACTTAATTTTAATTTCAGAAGACTCAGACACCACTTATGTTTTTTTTTCCCTCCATCAACCATTCTTTTAGCTTCTCTTTGAGACTGCCGTTGAGACACCAGTGTTTTCACTGCACTTTGCCCATTGGAAAACATTGGATTTCATTTTGATGGCTGACATTTAAATCTGTAGATAGGTGGAGGGTGTATTAATGTTGACCTGGGAGGCTGGCTTGTCCAGAATAAGTGTGACACAAAGATTATTGTTCTTTCACAATTGGACTTACATTTGAAATCTGTGCTAACTCATGAAGTTGAAGTGACCTCTCCTATTGACTGAGTAAGTTCAATATCATATGCATGCTCTCCTACTTAAACATAGCTATAATTTAATAGCAATCACTTAGTACTAACTTCATTCTTGAAGACCAACAAGGATAGCTCGGAGGTTGAGAGAGATAGAAGAATTTGCTATAGTGAGGTGCTGGATGCTGTGCTGAAGTCAGGATTAAAGAATATTATTTAGGCTAAATTAAAACAACTTTAGTGCTAATGAAGTTAGTGTAGCTGGACCAATATTCAAATAACATTGAATACTTTGCTTAAATTGAGTATTGATACACTTTTGAATCCTATGCTGTTGTCCAGGCTTTCAAGTAACTCTTTGTAATAGAAATAAGGTTATTTTAGTCATTTTAACCATGCATTTCATGAAATTGTAAAAGTTCTTACTCCCTTACTAATGATGAGGAATCTTGGCTGGTTTGTCTGATGCAGTTCTAGACCTAAGTTTATAAAATGCAGATGAATTCAGCTTTCCTGCAAAAATGCGCATATGGAGCTTTTGTAATGGATCAGTGGATAGCTGTATTAAATAATGTGGTGCTGAACTGTGCTGACCCAATTTGGCATTAGGTAGCTCCAACTGCCCTCAGCGTCTGTCTCAGTGAAAGCGTGTACGTGCAGATAGTGGGGGGGTCATGATTGAGTTTGGCTTGAAATCCTTTTCCATCCCCGCATGATCCATCCATTTACTGACATTGCTACAGCAGTTCTGGCATAGGATGACTGCCCTTTTAGATGAGACATTGGAAAGGCGCAAACTTTGCTTAAGGGTGATATGCTGCCTTCAAGATGAGAGAAGGAAGAGTGGAAATTTTGATGTGCTTTTTCTTTCGATTAATTTTGCAGGAACGTGAATGTGCCACAAAACTTCATTTCTCCTTTACGCCTTTACCTGCATTTTTATTCTATCGAACTTGGTTTCCCTGTAAAAATAGTTTTCACTTTTGAATTTTTTCAGTTTCTATGTGAGTATGTTTATAGTACACAGGCATAGGAGTAAGCTGGTTTCCTTTACTCTGACAATTGTACGTTACAGCTGAATTAGAAAAGTTCATTGTTTTGTTTTGTGTATAACAAAGAATTTATGGGACAACTACTTTTAAAATTGTTTATAAAATTTCCACAGTTGTTAAATTTACAATTTAAACGTGACAATTTGTTTTTGTTTTGAAATAATGTTAAAAAAATTACCTGTTCATTCCAATTAATTTTCCTCTTTCAAATCTGTTTATCTTTATGGTGTCAGGTATGTAACTGTAAGATGTCCCTGCCCAAATGGAAAGAATGTATATCAAAGTAGCTAGTGTGGAAAATACGAAGAAATGTATTCTATATCTTTTATTCAGTGTTGCATTTGCTGTGTGCATTTACTGGAGCATATCCTGAACCAAATACTGTAACTTTTGTGTATACATTGAAGGCCAAATTAATGACTTCAAGATGATTAAATTTTAGAAAAAGGCTGATGGCAGGGTAAGATAAAACAGTCCTCATATGGTTGCGGCAGCTTGAATTTATACATCTTTTTATAGTAAAGTAACCTGAAGTGCTTCATAGGAGCATTGAGTACAACTCAAATCAATCTACATAGGGAAACATTAAGGACAGGTGACCTAAACCTTGGTCAAGGTTGATTTTAAAGGGCATTTTAAAGTGCAGTGGCTGAGAGAGGGAATTCCAGAGCTACAAGTCTAACCACCTGAAGATATCATTGCCAGTGGTGAAGCAATTAAAATTAGGCATGCCCAAATGGCCAGAATTGGAGAAATGCGGAGGTGTCAAGGCTGTCGGATTGAATCCAGTTTGAAGTTCTCCAGTCTCAGGCAGTTGTGGATTTTATGTTCAGTCTGTACAATTTACATGAATACAGCACAAAAGAGTTGGTTTGAAAACAAATGGTCTGAATTCATGATTAACTGGAATGTAAAATATCACTGTTGAGGTGCTATAGAGGGTAATTGTTGTTTAAAAAGGGAAGAAAACTAGGGATAGTACGGAAGGCAAAATTCCCACTCAAATGTTAGGAGCGCTATCTGTATCATCATAGCAGTTGATCAGTGGTTTTCACAGTCACTGAATAGTTGCAGCACAGAAGGAGTGATTTTGACCCATTTGTGTCCGAGCTGGCTAATAAATTGAGCATCACACTTGGTGCCATTCTCCTGCTTTCTCCTGATACCCTCTCATATGGTTCCTTTTCAAAAAAAAAAGTCTAATCCCCCTTTGAATGCCTTGATTGAACCTGCCTTCATCATGCTTCGAGACAGTACATCCCAGATCCTAACGACTTGGTATGTGTAAACAATTTTCCTTGTTTTTTTTAAGCTAATTAGTTTAAATCTCTGCCCTCCCGCTCCCTATCCTTTCACGAATGGGAACATTTTCTCTCTGTTTACTTTGTTTGGGTGCTTTATGATTTAATACTCAGATCTCTACTCGGGCTTCCTTTCGCCAAAGTAAGCAATCCCACCTTCTCCAATGTGTCGTCTTAACTGAAATTCTTCATCCCTGGAATCATTCTCGTAAACCACTTCTTCACTCCCTCAAATGCGTTCATATTTTTCTTAAAGTGTAACAGAGAGAAAAGGATGCAAACTCCAGTGAGGCTGAATTAGTGCCTTATACAAGTTCAACATAGCCTGCTTGTTCTGATTTCTACACCCTTATTAGTGAAGCCGAAGATACTGTTCGCTTACTTGACTGCTTTTCAACCTGTCCTGCCACTTTTAATGGCATGCAGCCAGATCTGTCTATTCCAGCATCCATTTTAGCATTGTAGCCATCATTTTGTATTGTGTTCTCCATGTTCTTCACATCAAAATGGAATTTGCTTTTGAAATAACTCCACACAGGCTGGTATCCTATCATTAAGTCATCCATTATTTACACGTGGGTAGTCTTTTACACTGATCCAGCTCCCTTAGAGCCAGCTCCGAGTGTCAGGGATGTCTGTTTTTATATTTTAGCCAGGGTTCACTGGACTAGATTTACACCCCCAATCAGGGAACTGGTATTCTAAGAGGACCACTTGGCTGACTTTGTTTCAATCACAACAGTTTTATCTACTTAACTAATATAATTGCTCATTTCAGTAAGGAATCTGGTGGTTGATGTAACAAAAAAGTCTAGCAGTAACAACTTAGGTTTCTGTAATGGGGCATTGAACTAAAAATGAACCGTTTTGATTAAAGCCCCTGGGGGTCATGCTTCCTCACTGCATTGCTTTCTGTTTCAGTGCACGTTGTTGGGACTTAAGAAGGTGCAAGAGAGATACTGATAAGAACTTGTGTTAAGCTTGAGGAATTTGTCACAGTCACTAAAGCCAGAACCTTTCCATTTCCCAAAACACAAGCCTTGCCTTAATGAGCTGAAAAAAATACAATATTAATTCTGCAATACAGACCAGCTTACGTACAGTATTAAATCTTAAATTTAAACTCTTTGTAAGGGATTTGTGCATTTTTTTTCTGTAAAGGTCAAGGCATGCATTACCTTTATAGACTTAACATTAGGAGATAGCAAGAACTACAGATGCTGGAATCAGAGTCAATGCAGTGTGGAGCTGGAGGAACACAGCAGGTCAGGCAGCATCAGAGTAGCAGGAGATACGATGTTTTGGGTCGGGACACTTCATCAGGACTGGGGCGGTGGAAGGGAGCTGGAAAATAGATAGAGGGAGGAAGGGTGGGGCTGCATACCTCCAGCTCCACATTGTATTGACTCTGACTCCAGCATCTGCAGTTCTTGTTATCTCTGAGTGACTTAACCCTAGTGCGAAACCTATTCCAAAGATGCCCAGTTGTCTTCCTCCTTCCGGAAATACCTCTATCCAAAATAATCTGTCACCTTCCCACCTATCTTCCCACAGCCCCCATCCCTCCTCTCTCTATTTATTTTCTAGACTCAACATTATGCAATTGTAGCATAAACCCTAGTGCATTTATCACCAGAAGGAATTGTTGAAGATTAGTGATATTACTTAATTACAACAAGATCATTCATACCGCAGGCTTTAGGTGTTGTCAGTTTACATGAAGTGATGTTTTTACAAAACTATTTTCCCTGTTTTCTCGCTGACAGCTCTTAGTGTGAGGTGCCATAGTCTGCTTCTGATAATTGTGTTTTTAGGAATGCATAATCTGTTCTAATTTGTATCTGAAGCAACTGCTGTTGCTATTTTATGAAAAATGTATAGAATTTGTTAAATGTAAATTTGCATAGTGTTGTCCATACCTGCCACTGTTTTCTGAATATTTTGATGACACTATGTTTTTATATAGAACCAGAAGATGGCTGTACATACAGCATAAATGTATATCCTGACTGGCTGTAAAAGTGAAAAGGTAAAGTTGTGTTAGTCTGCTGGACCATAGGCTGCTCTCTTGACTGGCGGTTTAGCCTGAGCAACACCACACTTCAGGCGAGGGGTGAGGTTGAGAAGGATCGTCCTTTGTGGTAACCTCAGCTGATGTGGCAATTGAACCCATGCTGTTGATGTCATTCTATATTGCAAACCAGTCATGCAGCCAGTCAAACTAACCAATCCGCTACTGGGGGCCATAGTGAGGTAGTGGTGGAATTTTAGTTACTCTACAAATAAAACGTTGGGAACTTTTGAAACTATTTCTTTGCCTTTACATTTTATAGAACTCCAAATTAATAAATAAATGAAGAAAATGTTATCTGTCCATCATTCTCAATTAGCTTTTTTTAAGAGCCTTTTATGGTTGATACACTAATCAGATTTAGAAGCTGGCAAAGGACAATTGTGGGCAAACTAGCTAGTCTGCAAACTTACTATTGCCCTCAGTCATCATTTTTCAATGTGCAAAATTAGCAAAGAACACTGGTCAATGAGGTTATTATTTGAAGAAAAGCATATTCTAAGTGTTTTTGGATATCTGAAAATCATTGGGGAATGACACTAAACTTTCCCACAAAAGAACTGATATATGAAGCATGGTGCCAACAGGCTGTCAGTGTTTCTTTATGAATTCATTGCTTTTTAAATTCTCAAATAGACTTGCCTTACAATGTGCTGTATTGTAAGATACTGGATATGTTTAATAAACTAATTTACCTGGAGCATTTTGGTAACATTCCAGTGAGATTCTTTTTGCTAATTAGTTTATATTTCAAACGTGGTTTTGCTTCTAATCACAGATGGTCCTCTCCACAAGAAACAGTTGGTGTGACCATGGTAGTTTAGACATCATATACGTTTTGAGAAAGAGGTGCTGAGTCACCACCTCAATCCTTCCCCTGTTTGGATATTATGGATCAATCAAGAATGCAGGCTTCAAAGTTCTTGCCTACATTTATGCCTTCACCTTTTGAGTATTGCTGAAAAAGACACACATTTTGCTGAAACTTTTCATCCTGCACTCATCAGGACAATTCACAAGAAACCAGCATTCCTTTTGTATGAGAGAAGAGTGCTGATTGGTGGAAGCATTGCCATGGATACTGCAGCATAATGATAGACTGTTCATTGTCAGGCTTTGTTTAGATTTCAAACCAGGTGGCTTGACACTGATTGGCCAGGGCTTTGCCCTGTAAAATGAATTAGCTAATGGCTGTAACCTATTTTGTAGCAAAAACAGAAATTGCTGGAAAAGCTCAGTAGTTCTGGCAGCATCTGTGGAGAGAAATCAGAGTTAACAGACCTGAGGAAGGGTCACTTGACCTGAAACATTAACTCTGATTTCTCTTCACAGATGCTGCCAGACCTACTGAGCATTTCCAGCACTTTGTTTTTGTTTCGGATTTGAAGCATCCGCAGTTTTTTTTGGTTCTAACCAATTCTGTTGTGTTTTGCATCTCAGCACTGTACATTTTCTTTCTGCAAAAAAAAACAATGCCAGCTGTCTAATATGTTTCTCTTCCAGTTTACACAAATGCAACATACTGCGAGCCCAAGTGACGATCGTAAATTTGTTGTATTGCTCGTTACACAATCAGGATTATCCAACAAGTGTCCGACTGCAGAATCACTTCTGGTTTTGGACACTTGAGTTTTACAAGCACGAGTTGTGTTTGGTATGATCAGTATCTTAGTTGTACATAACAGCCAAACGGATGTTTGACGTGATCCACCTGTTTTTGGGATATATGATCTACATATTGACTGAATTCATATACCACATTACTTATTTACGTGATGGGCAGAATACCCTTTTGACTTTAACAACAGCATCCTTTTCTGGCAAACAGCATTTGCATTGCTACTGCGTAGTATCCGCTTGAAACATCTAACATCATCAGTTGCCAAAAGCATGTGAGATGCCTTACGCTTTTAGGGTAATCAGAGATAGACTGGCACTTTTCAGGACCAAGTGTGGCTTAGGGTTTTTCATGATATTTTGTGGGATATGTAGTGAGAAATGATCTGATCAGGTAGCCATTATCCCACAGGATAGCTTTGATGTGCCCTATTTCTGTATCAAACTTGCACATTGAGCAATAACTTGGGCTGTATTATTTAGGTCGCCATTAAGTCCAATACGATAACGTGGAACAACTGTCTGTTTTGCACTCTTCCTTTCTAGAGAGAAAAGCTGCAAAACAATCCTTACCAAATACACTTTATTTCTAAAAATAATAAAGTGAAAGAAAGAACTACCAAATTAGAAAAGGAAGGGGAGAAAAATAATGTACCAAATTTTTAAGAAACTGGAAAGAATCCTCAAAATCCAAGAAGATTTGTTGAAATTGAGAAAATCAATTCTATATCTGTTTTCCCAGTTCCCTAGGTATCAAGTTGGAGATTTTTTTTAAATTCTGGGGAGGTGGGTGTTGCTGTCTAGCCAACATTTATTGCCCATCTCTAATTGCTCTGGAGTGGGTGCTGGTGACACATTTATCTTTCCAGCCTGTTTTACATTCAACATTTTAGTTTTACTGTTGTTTGTATAATAAATAGCCCTAGGATTTAAATACCTTTTGTACAAACATCTGAATTAGTATTAAACCGTTCTGCCCATTGAGCTTGCTTTGCCATTCAACAAGATCTTGGCTTATCAATTCTGGCTTAAATTCTACATTCTGTCTATTCCAATAATCTTCGGCCTCAATGTTAGTTAGTAATCTATTTACTTCTGCTTTGAAAATATGTGGGCTTTGGAATATTTTCCTCTTTACTAATTCTAGATTGTTTCTTGATTGGTTTGCACCTTGCAAGCTGAAAACCTAATGGCAAATCTGACTCTCAAAAATGCAACCTTGAATTGGTTACTTATTATAACTAATGCCTAAGGGAAAGTGTGATGTAACATCTGATGCGATGTTTATGATCTGCGACTCCTTTCTTCATTCATGGCCAAAGCATTGTTCTGCTGTCAATCTACAATGATGGACTTTATCTTCTGCGGGGTATTTGTGTTTGATGAGATCATGCTTATGTTAGCTTTTTTTCCTTCAGTCTTTTATTCCACAGACAGACGACTCAATAAGATGGAGACTGAGACCTTTACTTGGTGGTATGCCCTGATATGTTGATCATATTATGAGCATGTTCCTTAAAGGGGTATTGCATGTGAGCTGTGAGAGTTAACACAGCAAAGTGGATAATCTTTCTTCACAGAATCCTTACAGTGCAGAGGCAGGCCATTTGGCCAATTCAGTCTACACCAACCCTCCAAAGAACATCCCATCCTTAACCTTCATTTCCCGTGGCTAATCCATCTAGCCTGCACATCCCTGGACGATATGGATAATTTGGCATAGCCAATCCGCCTAATCTGCATGTCTTTGGACTGTAGGAGGGAACCCGAGCACCGGGAGGAAACCCACGCAGATACGGGGAGAATGTGCAAACTTCACACAGTCACCCAAGGGTGACGTCAAACCCAGGTCCCTGGTGCTGAAAGGCAGCAGCACTAACCACTGAGCCACTGTGCTGCAATCAGTGCCTAAGGGAAAGTGTGATCTGACATATTTATAATGTAGGAATCATTTCTTCATAAATGGCCAAAACATCTGAAGGACAAAAAAGTATTGCATACAGTTTTAAGGCTGAAAGTATTTTAATTCTTTTCTAAAGAAAGTTGTTCAAATGTAACAATAAAAAGCAACATGACATTTTTAAAAATGATTTTCAAATTCTGCATGGATGTGCCTGAGACACATCATTGTGTTGTACAGCTGTCAAAAGCATATGATGTACGTCTCCAGAAGCTGGTAACTAAACTAAAAAGGATTCTAGATTGAAGAGAATTTTGTAAATTGATGATTAAATTAGATCTAATGTAAATGTAAGGATTTATAAAGATAAAAACCATAATCATGCTATACAGTATTTTTGGTTGATAGATAAATATTGTCCTGTACATTGCATAACCTCACCTCATCAACTTCAAATAGTATGTGTGTAATCTTTCATCTCAACCTGAAAGGGAAAATGGGGTCTCGCCAGCTTACACTGCAGTCTCCCTTTGCACTGGAGTGTGAGCCTGGACTCTGAGCTCTCTGGATTGAGCCTGAACCTGAACCTGAACCTGCATAACCATCTTAACTTGCAAACAAGAGTGCTACCAATTGACTCGCACCACTGTTGTCTTTAATTATATTTTAACTCAGTGGCAAAACTTACTGCTGAAGAGATATTGTGCAGAATTTACTCTCAGAATGTGCAGAGGTGAACACTGTTGCCATTGAGTTAGTAACTATACTACATGCATTATAGTTAGTGCATCAATAAGGTATTTTGTGTTTTATTGCAAAGCGCATTAAATACTTAAAACTTATGGAAAGAGATCCTTATCTAACCATGACTCTGACTTTCCTGGCAAGTCAGTTTTTTGAATTAACAGGCTCCAACTGAATAAATTGTTGCACTGAGACGATGTCTGAGGACTCATTGCTGAAAATTGGCCGACCATCAGTTATTACATTGTGTTAAAATCAAATGTTACTGAGTTTTCCTATTTTGGCATGAAATTACAAATCCAACCGAGGGATTCTTGTGATCATAAATGAGTAAGTTGTATAAGAAAGAAATCACTTGCATTTTATAGTGACTGTCCCAAAGGCCTTTTAAGCCAATGAAACACTTTTGACATTTAGTCATTGTAATGTTGGAAACACAGTAAACCTGTCTGTGTGCAATCGGGCTGAATTTTGCTGGGGGTGCAGTGACCTCAATGGCCTGGAATACTGGCAATCTTCCTTGGCTGCTTCAGGAACCCGTGTCTGCATTCTATGGCAATTGGGCTCTATGTGAGATGCCATTAGAGGTCGCATCCATTTCAAGAAAGGCTCATCCAATCAGAGACTTGGCAATATTCCATACCCAGCAATGCCACCATGAGCTATGTCTACTACTGGGACTGCACAAATCCTGGTGAAACACCATCGTCATAGCCCTCTGAATGATTGGGGTTTCCAACGCCAGGGATGACAGGTTTCAAAGGGTGGATATTTGGATGTTTCTGCAGGGGGAGACCTACACAGACTGCAGTTACAGCTGGACTCAGTGGCACCATCACTGTGGATAGGTTACCATGTATCACTGGGCAGACTCTCCCATGTGTAGAGGACTTGTCCCACTCACCCTCCCTGAGCCTGCTGTTAAGATACCAGTAGGATTGGGAAGAGGTTCTTCGTTAACCACTTAAGGGCTTCAA